GAAGTTGCTTTTTATTACATTCATAAGGAAAACTTGAAAGTACAAGTTAAAGCAATAAACTCGGGACATAGTCAAGTCAGGTGTTCCTGCGCCCCCTCCCAGAGTTTGTGGAAGTCTTTGATTCCAAAGTAGGCCCGGTCTGTGCCTCATCTTCAAGCCAAGCAATGCATTCATCAGAAATGGTGCAACTGAAAGCGGGAGCGGGGGCCAGAAGCTCTCTCATCCTCCGTGTTATGGCATACCGAGCTAGCTGTGTGCCTCAGACTGGAAATGCAGTAGGGTACTCTATCCCTTCTTCTGGGCGGGTCTGATCATGGCCAAATTGGCGCCGGAATCGAAACGGGAAGTAAAAGACACAGTGTGTCAGGCCAGTCAGCTGAATGCCCTGCTGGCGAGACATGCTGTAACTCATCACCGGCAGATTGAGCCAGGGGCAGTGCCAAGCAATGTTGACAGTGAATAGACTACACATCCATTCGCACCACCATCCCTCATTTAGGGCATCAACTAGTCGCTGTAGGAAGAAATAGCCGCGAGCTGAATATGCGGGGCAAGAGTCCACCACTCTCAACTTATCCATCAACCATATCTGGGGAGGGATGAAAAATGAGAGATTAAAGAATTGAGAGGTGTACGTTGAGAGAAAAGTGAGGAAAAGGTTTTGAGAAAAAAAAAACAGAGCATGAGGGTCCCGTGATGTGAGGAATACACATGTGAGTAGGGAGGGAAACAATACCTACAGCAGTAGTGGACTCTCCGCGAATCTAGTCATCTCTCGGTGATGGAAAGAATCCAAACCCATCAATGTCTCAGCTAGTGTCATGGCAATGCAGCTCTTGCCCTTTTTTAAGCCTTGGGCAACCTCAATCAAACGGATGCTAGACCTACCAGAGCCTGGGGTAAGCAAGAAATGAGACAACATGCACAAGCAGAGGGTGTGTTGCCGGAAACCCTGCCAGTGATGATCGTCGCGGTCACCAGCATTCGAAAATCGATGAATCAAGCTGGAGATGTCTAACTCTCCGTCGTGAATCAAAGACCGAGCGTCATGCAAAGTAAGCCCGCACATTCGTCCTAGAGCTTGGATGTGGCCAAAACGGAGTTGGGGCAAGATCTCTTCATCGCGCTGAGACTCCATCAAAGCTTGGAAGTATTCGAAAGTGGGACATATCTCTTGTCTGCCAAAGCTAAAAACGTGCGTAATCAGATTCCAACACCTAGCTGCGGCGTGAAGGAACGGAAGATGCAGCAGGGTGCGGCTCAGAGTGAATAGTGTATTTATTTTGAAACCCCAGAAGTTCAACTTTTCCGAGCCATCCAAGTTTGCAATCCAATTTGTGAGGTTTTGGACAAGAAATGCTTCCATTTGAGGCAAAAATGGAGTTGAAATGAAGGAGTCACGAAGCTGGAACTCTTATAGAAGATATGGCACTAGTGGAGGACAAGTGGCAAAATCTAAAGATCCTCCTGAGTAACTGGTCGACCGACCACCTTTTTGGGTCGACCAACCACTTTTCTGGTCGACAGTCCATTAAACTGGTCGACAATGAGCATAAGTCGTCTACAGCTACTTCTTGTCTCTAGCAGAGAGTCCCTAGCCTTCCTATGTACTGAGAATGCAGAAGGTCTGAGTTTATTTCTACTTCGAATGCGTCCTGTTATTTTGTTTTTCCAATATGCATTTGCTTATCGAGTTGTTGCTCTTTGATTATCGAGTTGTTGCGATTTGTTTATCGAGTTGTTGCTCTTTGCTTATTGAGTTGTTATAATTCGTTTATCTAATTGTTCTTTAAGTTGTTTTGTTTGTTACGTTGGTTCACTGCCTGACTTGGCAATACACGAATGTTCAATTTCCATCAATCTCATTTTAATGCTGTGTGATGCGATGCGATGCTCAAAATATAAAATGTAACCCTTTTGAACTGAAAAGTTGTTTTCATTCCATCATGGTTTCTTTTTACAACAGGGTAAAAGTTTTAAGGAAAATAAAACTGCCTAATGTTGTACAATGTGTTATAACTACTAGCAAAAAGAAAACAAAGCAAAAACATCTGAGTCGGTGCTATCTGACTCAGGATCGAGAGGCCATCTTCATCCTCTTCGGCTGAGCAGCCTCTACACCACCGCCATCGGCACCCCCATCTGAACCAGAGCCGCCATCCTCAGAATCCTCCTCGGCGTCGTCTCCGCCCTCAAAACCTGAACCGGTGTCACCACCTCTGCCCTCGGATGTCTCTGACTGAGGATTTGCTAGCTCCTCCTCCTCACTAGGCTCGTCATCACGTCTAGCGGGCGCTCGACGTCTCGCTCAGCCACGTGTCGGGATCCCTCTCCCTACTAATAGAGAAGGCCCGGATGGCCTAGGCTGTAGAGGTGTGACCTGAAAAAGGAAGCTTGAATACATCAGCCAGGGTATGTATATCAGATGCAAGTATGGTGCATAGAGTGAGTGCATGCAGATATAGTATGTGAATGTGATGTGTCGGATGTGATCTATACATGCAGTGAATTAGTGCAGTGAAATGTTCAGTTTTGATATATTAGCAAAAGTATGATAAATGCAAGGAAACTGGAAAGTACCGGGATGCCGTGGGAGTGCAGCATCGCCTCTCTCCTCAAAACCATAAACTCAAGTGAGGCCATCGCCTCGAGCAACCCCTCAACATATCCTGTGGAAGGCTGTAGATGCAAGTTCAAGTCATCAGTGAATGAATGAATGTCTAAATATCTGAATGATAGATGAAAGCTGTGAAGCATACCGATGCTAAGTCAGGGACCCTGACATATCGATGATCTGGCAATGGAGACTCAAGCGAAATCTGATAAGGCGACTCATACCGCCAGCCTGTCAGCTCGGTCGGACGATCTAGCCACCCAGCACAGTGCCAAGTGGGGGGCATCCCCCTAGTTCTACCTCTCGATGTGCTGGCCCTGCTAGTCGAGGGGATGTCTGTAGCTCGGGCGCGGCTCGATGAAGGAATGTCAGCAGCTCTCCTCATGGGGGCATGAGCACCTGTCAGCAGGGGCATCAGGTATGTGTGGAAGTATGTCGTGTACTCTCCCTCCTCCAGGAAAAGGACTGCGTCAGCATCCTGCATAAGATCGCTAACCTCCTGGTGAGAGAGACTCTCTATGGTCCGCATGTCTAATGGAGGCGGTGAAAGGATCTCCTGAACGGGATTGCCTAGTGTCTGGCTCATGAAGCGCTTCTCGAGAAACCAGGCTCTGTCAACTGGTCCCTCAAACAGAATCTGGTATTGGGAGGTGCCCCATGCCCCAGCAAACTGGAACCGAGAAAACCCTGGCATCGCTACCCAAGGCTGTCAGCTGATGTAAGAAATACAGAGCGAAAGCATGAAGTTTGCAAGAAATACAAAATACATCGCAGAAAATGTAAGAGTGCAGTATGCACCTCGGGCGCGTAGTGAGACAAATAAGACTTCAGCTCCCATAGTAGCAAGTCTGCAGGTGCTCGTCGCGCAAAGTCTGTAAAATGATGAAAAGTGCTGGGTGATATGATGTGCTCCTCGGGACAGTACGTCGTAGGGTTGAAGGGCCAGATCCTGGGAGGCAGCGAAATGATGTCGGGCTTCTTCTCCATCCCCAGAGGACCCTCGTCGTATGGAGCATCGTCAACCATCTGAAAAGAAGGTGCAAAATGAGCAAAAATGAGCGAAATGAACTAAAATTGCCAAAAGTAAATAAAAGTCAACTCTCAGGAAGAGAAAAAGTCAAAGAAAGTCAAAACCCAGGAAAATGTGCTAAACTTCGAAAGAAACATGCCTCAAGTGGTGAAAATGGAGAAAGAAGCTCCGAAAACAAATTATGATCGGTTCAAAGTAAAGGAAATCAGAAGATCTTAGTGAGTCAACTTCACATGGGGCGTTGGAAATAAAATAAATAAAATAATGTATTTTTATAATATAACAAAACTTAAGAGGCAAGAATATAATAACTAAAACCTTAGGATCAAGATTGTAAAGAAAAAAGGACCAAAGTGGAACAAGATAGAAAGTATAAGGATCATATTGACGAAATTCAAAGTATCGGAGCCAAACTGAAACTTACAAAAAATTAGGGATGATTGATGTAATTAGCTTAAAATAAAATTAACCTTTTTCTTTTTAGAATCTTGTTTAAATTTGTAAAGAAAGTATAATAGTATTTTTATAGGGAATTATGTGATTAGTATTAGAATAATGCCAGTTATTATGGAAAAAATATTATGAAATATTTTATGAAAATTCTCCACTCATGAATTATATATACAATAAAATACCACACCAATTAAATGATGAAAAAATCTTCATGAAGCATTTCATGATATTTTTTTTGATAATCCCTAACATTACTAATGGTTGCTTGGGATGTATTAAATTAATATAATTTTTGACTTTTTATGAAAAATATATAAAAAAGTAAAAAGATGATATGACTAAAAAAAAATAAAAAGATAGAAAAAATATACTATTTTAGTTCATGTCAAACTAGTATTATGCGAGTAGAATTGCTGCAAAATTAAATACAGATACACCACAAGAAGTTAAAAAGTGGATAACTTATGCAATCCTCCTTAAATCCCTCCCCGTGTGACTACCCTTAGACTAATTCATGATATGATATAAGATATCCTTACATCATTATATATATATATAAGCCCAAACCTTTTTTTAGATGGATATATATCCAAATCTTAAATGTCAATACGATTATGCAAATCTAAATTAAAATTGGTCAAATCCAAATTTTATTTATCTAATCAAATCAAATATATACTTTTTTTATTGCTCAAAAATTAATTTCTTTAATTACTTCATCAACATCAATTTGGATACGAATCAATTACCAAGTAAATCTATAACTGATCTAATCCTACTATGACTAAAATAGGTCTTCTTCACATATCACATATATATATATATAGGTATACACTGTCGACACCAAACCAATCGTAAGTTTGAGGGCTTGTTTGTTTGAAAAGAAGGGAAGAAAAAAAAAACATGGGTAAGGGAGGAATATCTGGAGAGAACATGGCAGCGTGGCTGCTTGGCGTGAATGCTCTTAAAATTCAACCATTCCATCTTCCTTCTCTTGGTATATATATGTGTGCATGTTTTGTTATTTGTGTTTAGAATGATGAAAATTCTAACATAATTTTGCCTTTGATTTTCTTACGTAATAATAATTCGTATTTTTATTGTTTGTCTTACTACTCATGGGGTTATTTATATTCTTCATAATTTTTTAGGTCCCTGTAAATCAAAGTATAACGCAACGGAATAAAAAATTATGGTCATACCTTTCAAACAGAGTCTGAATTGAAAGATCTCGTGGGTAAATCACGTGCTTCCTGAATCTAGTCAATCAACCCAGCAATTGGGTGATATTACAATAGTGAATATCACCCACACAAACCACAGTGCAAATGGCTTTTATCGTTGTTTTTGGGAGAGAGTCAGTATATGGGAAAAACTCAAACATACGTTATTTTTCACTTAATCACCCATATCCCATATATCAGATATATAATCTATTTATCTCATTTATCCATATTTATTATATGAGATAATATCTGATATCTATATTATCTATCCATATCATGATATGATAGATATATATCCTGAGTGGCTATCCAAATAGGTTTGAATTCAAATTCAAAACCCATTTGGATAAGGTTCAAAAGGTTCAGGTTCAAAAGGTTCTAAGGGTCATGCCACATGGCGCCCAATTTCTAACGTCTCCCACTTGGACATGAGTTGGCATGACACTGCCACGTCTCTGTCTCAATCTCCCCAAAAAATAAACAATCTCATACTAGCCACTGCACCGTGCGACTGCTGAGAACACCTGCATATAGAGACATCAACCCAAAAAGAACAGAAATAGTGTCTCATATACCCCAGACCCATCTAATTACACCGGTCCAAAAAACATCTCTAATCCCTCAAAAAGAGCATGTTTGACCCTCTCAATTCTTGCAATATATTCACACTCAATTCGCCTCTCATACAGAGCGATGTGAGTTGCCGGTAGTGAATATACAACAGTGATGTAATACTAGATGATCTTCCCTTTCCACTCATGCCATTTAGTTTAGGATTGACCGCTTTCCCAGTGATGTCCCTTAAGGCCGAATCAAGTCCGAATCATGCATGACCGCAGGCAACATACCAAAGTAGCAGAACATCAACCCCTTACCTTATGACATAGTCAAAAGTCACAAAAGGGTACATAAATGAAAGTCATATCAATAATGACACGTAAGACTGACACGGTGAGGAAGCAGGGATCCATTCTCTCACCTCATTACTCGGTCGCCAAGCACATATAGTATGAATACATGCTACGGTGGAGTAACTCTTCCATAAAGAGTGACGTCATACTCGATACACCGTACAGATATTAGTCTAGGCGCTTTCTAGCGCCTAACCTGAATTCTCTATTTGCTCGCCTTCCAGGCGCCAAATGAGATCTCGTATCTGGCTAATCATAACAGGCACAACATGGAAAGTGGGTACTAACATCCATGTTTGGTCCTTAACACAACCTCATCTTGGTTGTAACCAAGGCGACATGTATAGTGGATTATTTAAGCCTCTCTTGGCTCCAAATAAAAATATCACTAGTCTCATCCTTGCTCGCTCCCAAGCGCCAAGGGCGATTGCTCGTGTGAGTGAGCAAATCTTGCCTGCTGACATCATCATCTGCTAATCATTATGACACAAACCATAATAGTGTCAACATCTCATCATCTCAAAATAAGTGATCGATTTTAAAAAAAAAAACACAACCACAGTCTGCGCAATTCTAGATTCCAAGCATAACCCTTATCAGCACCTCTTGCGATAAGCATATACAACAGAATCCACCATTTGCGCCTCATATGAAGTGGTTCAAGATCACTACCTCTTGCGCAATTACCTCTCTAAAGATATTTTGGTGACCGATTTGCGTTCATTCTGGATGTGCCTAATTAGCGCAGATGCGCCCAACTAGCGCATTGAATCTTACAAGAAGCAAATTAATATACTACTAGTAAAGCATTTTATCCATAATCTAATGAGCAAGGTCAATGTCTAAACAACTCAGTTGACCATTTACCAAATATAACACTTATCATGCCAAATACGCCCACATAGCGTACTTCAGGCTCCCACAACAAAAAAGATCAAGGAATATAGGTCATCTGTTTCTCCCAAAGGCAATCCGAGGATTCACTCAATAGCTAAGGCTCTGGCTTCTACCGATAGGTAAGTCAATGGGTTTGCAATTTTGCATCTAGAATCGTTCTAGAATATTCCTTATGTAAGTCATCGAAGACAAAACATGAATTCTCCCAAATCAATTCCTAAGGATCGTACATCCGAGCATATAAATTATATCACCCCATCATATCTAAAATAGAGGACTGCCCACCCTAGGTGGCGACAACCTTATAAATTCCTGGCTCATAATGACTAAGTAAGGAAAAACTTCTTTTGGACCATTGATCATGCCTCAATGGTCTTCATTGATCATCGTTGGCCTATCATGGCTTGACGAAAATCTAAGTACCACTATTTGGATAACTGTTTTAGGTTGTAAAAGATTTATTGGAACTAGCAACCTTTTTGCGCTCCTAACTTTTCACCATAAAAGCAGAAGGTAAATCCCTACAGATCTACTTATCCAATTCTCTAACGAGAAAGTTCGGTCACAATGTCCACAAATCAATGTTTTGAACTTATGTCAATCATAGCCTAAGTCAAAATAACCTCACTCCCCAGGAGGAAGTCTTCTCATGGTCTACACTTTCATCAATAGTGTGACTTTTCAGTATCTAGCGAGCCTTATGCCTGAACAAAGACTATCCAAGTTACGCATAACTTTAGAACAGTTTCGCGTCATAATGGAAAGTCAACCAAATTATAGAAATGGTTAATCCTCAAAGACTTTGTCTTAAACTGCACAACATTAATCCACTTTTTTTTTAAAAAAAAAAAACAGGGGACTAGAGCCTTTGGCATTATCCTAGGCTCTTTATCATCTTGCGGAGCAATCATGAATGTTTCCCTCTCAATCATCCAGTGATGACGTGAAAAATTTTCACATTCGCTACCACGCAACTTAAGAATGTAGAATATTCTTCTCTAATGGAGTAATCCATTAGTAGGTACATCGCTCCCACCGTCCCTAGGATATTGGAAATTTCTTTCCATTCTCAACTAGGCTACATAAAGCCCTATGCTTAGAATTCTCTACCTTATAGAGTTCCAAAAACTCTATTCACGTCACCTTTACTAATAAAACTTTATGTGACTTAGTTACACTACCACAAAGCTGCTTACCTATATGCACATGACCCGGAGGGTTTACATGACCGCATACAATAATGCGCCACACGACCCTTTGTGTTTACAAGACAGCATACAATAATGCACTATAGAACCCTAGGTCTGAACTTCGCAATCTTATGAGAAGTAAAATAAAGATAAGCTACTTAACGGTTACAGATCGCCCATAGATGGCTCTCCGCTAACCCATTACTCAAATGGAGTATTACATAGACATTAGTGCATGCATGCTCATATTGTTGTTATAGACCATGTTTCCAACTG